AAGAACTGAACGGGGGTTCTGATGAGAACAGTGTAAGCGTTCAAGCAAACCACTTCTGAAGATGCAAGCCACTCGTGCTTGCGAAACGTCAGGAATACATTCTATCGAACAACGGCCTAAAAACCCAGAAAACCCATTAGTTTCAAGGAATGGCCTTATGATTATGAACCTTCTTTGCCGATAAGCCTAATCGAGCCTGGAACCTTCTGGGTAGTTCTTTATGTGTGAATAATATGTGATTTGTCCGCAGTAACGACTGCAAATTAAATTGAAGAGAATAATTGAACAACATCGTTAAAACAGCGCAAATTGACTTTTGACCTGCTGGAAGCACTGCCTGCTTGAATTTGCTGAACTCCCATGATAGGACACATTAATATTTTAATTAGAACAAACAAGGCAGCCAGAGGCGTGTTGTAGACTATTTTCCAAAATTTTCAACAAGTTTGCCTTTTGTGATAGTGGGAAACCTTATTTTCCAGTGCAACCGTTATGCGTTAACAGCAAACAATAATTAAGCATTGTGACGCCACTGGCTGGACGGCACTAAAAATAGCTGTGGTAGAGCGGCGATAGTCCGGCTGCAAATTTTATTTAAATCAATTGAAATTACACTCTTTTAAATACATCAAGTCCAATTAATCCACTTAGCTAATGTCATTTCGCTTTACAAATAGCAAAAGTAAATGAAATTTAATTACTGTATGTGGAACGATGCATTACGGTTTCAATTGACCTTCTGAGTCAATTGCTCTGAGCGATTCTGCGTATTTAGCTGACACTGCAATTGATGTTGGCCAAGAACAAAGACGCAAACTCTTCAACTGTGGACGCAGTTTTACCATTTTATTTGCAGTTTTCTCTTCGTGTGCTACCACGACACTGTCGTCTGCATATCAATGCTGGATTGTTGATGTTTGCACTGCGGTTTTCAGTGTTGATTATTGCTCAAAAATAGAAACTTTCCAAGTGATTAGCGAATTTATTGGAATTAACAGCTTCATTAATGCAAATTGAATAAAAATATTACTATAGATTATGATAAGAAACAGCAAGTGCTTGCCTGGTTCGTTGTGTGCGAGTGTCAATACGAATTTTCATGGAGTAAAAAAAATAGTAACCGGCAAGGACCAGGTGGAAAATGTTTTTGAGGTTTCAAGTTTGAGAAAGAATAAAATTTAAACACGACAACTCTGGAAATTTATTTAACACTTTTGATTTCAACCGCAAATTAACCGTCCAAATGGCGAAAACCCTATTTTCCTTATAGCGATAGCGAAAGAATCACTTTTACTCATTACAATGACATGACAATGACAATTGACGTTGCCGCCCATTATTCATAGTACATTATGGTACATGAGAGGAAAGTCGAAGTTCCGCCACTGATTGAAGTCATGCACGCAGTGGCGGGTCTTCGACTTTCTTGATTCTCGATGGAAACTAGCCGAGAAAAGAAAAACTTTGAAAAGTCATCTGACAGACCATGACAAAGTCAAGCTGTCAGCGTGCGGTGGCGAAAGCTATTTCTTTCCACACGGGATCAAGAAAATTTGTAATGGGTAAAAGCGCTGCTTTGCCCGTCGAAAACAGTGGCGAAAGTACGTACTTTCCACCAGGGGATCAAGAAAAAACCGCTTTCATCGCCTAAACTGCATCGCAATTTCACCACTTCCCTGTTTTTCCTTTAGAAATTTTCTCGGATAAAAATATTTATTGCGTTTATTTCATATTACGTTTCGGCGAGACAACAGCGCCATCATCAGATTAAAATTCAAAACAAACCCATAATTGGGCACATTTGATTCTTTATATGCYTGSCARGCATATAAAGAATCAAATGTGCCCAATTATGGGTTTGTTTTGAATTTTAATCTGATGATGGCGCTGTTGTCTCGCCGAAACGTAATATGAAATAAACGCAATAAATATTTTTATTTCACATTTTGACTGAAAGCCGGGAAAGAAAAAAGTATAATAACGATTACACGCAGTCAAGAAAATAAATCAAAACTAAAGTCGGAACCTCAACAAGATTTTCCTCCTGGTCCCTGCCTGTTTTTTTTTTAATTATTTGCCGTTGACTGCTAGTGAAACCGGAAAATTGAAATTTATCGAACAATTAATGGCAATCAAAAAATGGATACAGAGAGCGACTAATGAATAAAAAAAATTGAAAAACGAGAATGTGAAAACGGCCGGAAATTGAAGTGGAATTTTTGCCAATTTGGCCCAATAAGAGTGGGGCTTTGATATTGGCTCGAAATTTCCATGGCCCTGCGTTCTAATAATGAAATAGCAAACAGATTTAATTTTTTAGTATACATATGCGGTGTTGCATTTCAATTTGGAAAAAAACCGAGCCGAAAAGCCATATTTCGGATGAAACATGAAAGCGTCTGCCTAAACTATTTTACGGCAAATTAAAAACGAACAGGAATGAACAGAAAAAAAAGAGTCGGATTGCCATCGGGCACGTTTAATAATTTTTGTGCGAGCTTCGGTAAATATTTCCATTTCCGACAGATCAATTTCCAAATAGAATTCCACGGCAAATATTGGCTTTTCATATTTCACTCCATTAGAACACATGGATCCAGGCACGGAACATTTCCCCAATTTATGCGATTTTTCCCTTAGTATTAACCACTCTCAAACCGCTTCTGATAATTCCTCAAACGTACACCGGTGAAGAAAAGTAGTTATTAAATGTTTCCCATCATTTAACTCCGATCGGTTTTAATTAGGACGGAACAAGTCGTGAAAGTTGGACACTATTTGGACAACAACCGTTTTCATTGGGGGTAATTAAGGCCCGAAAAATGGCATTAAATTATCCGGAACATGTGAACCAATTACGAACTAATTAATTTAAACACTGGTTAATTGACGACGTCACGCGACAATTGACCAATCCATCATTCGGAATCTGGAATGATGTCATACACCGAGTGTTTTAATTGGGCTGTCAATTAAGCCCGCCGATGGCCAATTTAATTATTTTGTTTTCTAGACTTTATCGGCTGCAGATTGACAATCACGGGCCTTAATTCGCGAGCAGATTTGCACTTGCAGGCAAATTTTAATCAAAACGCGATTATCAAAATGTGGAATTATTACGGCTTCACACAATGGAGTTTGCCGCCTTTGTGGAGCAACCGTATCTTCGTAAATTCATTTTGCGCGACTTCTCCCTACCAAATTACCCCATTACGCTTTACTCATTCCACCCTGATATAATAACAAACATGAAATTAGATGGGGGGAGGGCAATTTGTCTCGAACAAGCTCGAGCCCGAAGTCGTTCGGTGTCTGTGCGATTTTCCCGCCCGAGTTTAAGCTGCGAAAAACCCATTCGAACCCACTGGCCTCCGCACAACATACCTGGATAAACCCAGGAAAATCATTGAAAAACTGCACTTACCCATCTCCAAAGGGAAACATGTGCGACAAGTTGGGATGGTGCAGCTGCTTGGGAGGCTCCGATGTGGCGGGAGAGGTGGGATTGCTGTGCGGCGAGGATGGATTGGAGCGATCAGCTTCAGGGGCGCTGCGCCCATGATCCACACTCTCATGGTCAATGGAGCTTCGGCTCGAGCACTCCCGATCCCGTCCTATTTCCTCATCTAGTCCAGCTATTTCCGGGGAACTTGTCGTTTGACCATCGTCGATCTGAAAGACCCCAAATTTGCAGACACTCTCCCTCCTCATCAAGCCACATTTGCAACGGGTTCTCCAATTGGAGGTTGGGAAAGTATCCGAGGCGTTTTTGTTTTAGTTGAAGATTGCCATTTTGGAATAGGCGTCGTTTAACTGTCGAAGAACGCGCAAAAACTATTAAATGTTACTATGAAAATGGTGATTCTACTTGTATCAGCGTTTAGGGCTTTTCGAGCAGATTCCGGTGGACATAATCGACCCCCAGAGCAGACAATGTCGAACACAGTGGAAAAATTTCAAAAGACTGGATCAGTTGCTGATATTGTAAGGCCGGTGCATCATTCGTTCAGCTGAAAATATCGCTGTTGTTGCTCAAAGTGTGGAGGAAGACCCGATTTCGTCGATTCCCCGACGCGCTCAACATTTGGGCTTGTAACTAATGGGTTTTTCGGGTTTTTAGG